CCTCCCCCCCCCCTCTACTTCACTCTCGCTGACCCCCAAACTCGATTCATCGCCCCCTCCCCCCTCTCGATTCAGGATGAGGATCCCGAGAGCGTAGATGACGACGACGACACGGTGCTGGTGACGGGGGGGACACACATGGGGTGCTACGGAGATGACGACAAGGACCCCATCCTCGACTTCCTTTACGAGGACGAGGACACTTTGACACCGGCGGTAAGAACGGAGAGAGAGAGAGAGAGAGTAAGAGAGAGAGATGCTGGTTGAGCATGAGGTGACAAGCGCTTGAAGTCGTGTGGACAACCGGGTGGCGGTCATGTGTCACGCTGTGAGATGAGAAGGCCTTCAGCGCTTGAAGAGTCGTTTGGAAAATCGCATCGCAACACATGTTATCCAATACGCTTAAAAAGACACGAACTAGGACCGGGGCTGCTGCTGCTTCATCATGCGGACGCGATGCATCGGTACGGTTTTCATACGATCGCTTCGACCGAGCGACCTTTTTGATTCATTGTTGTTTTTCACCCAAGGTTCAACACAGCTGCTGTGTTTCATAAATAAGCCCCTTCCCGTATCCCCCCCCTCGATGTTTGCCATCGGGATTGGGTTTTCGTCGCTTGGCAACGACGTTGTAAAACAAGCCAATTCACTTCGTGAACTCGGCAACCAGGTTACCGTTTTTTTTTTTTTTACCTCCGTTTTTTTTTTTTTTGGCGGTAACCATAATGGTGGTCGAGTAGATCATGTTGTGCGGGGTGGAGAACCCTCACTCCGCGCAAGGGGGATGATCGCACCACGTTGTGTTAAAATGGTCAAGCACCCTCGAGGCAGTTACACAGTGCTTACAACTGTCTCTGGAAGTGGAAGCACCAGAAAATAAATTAAGTCATACGCAGCTGTCATCCGTACGCAAGCAAGTAAGCACAAGATGCCGAACACCCTTAGCAGGATGCAGCGCACCCTTCATGCGACTCGCCGAATACCTCACGGCGCTTCGCGCTTGGTGATGTGAGAGCCTGGTCCGGTGAGAATCCGGCGTGCTCCGTCCCGGCCTTGTAGGGATGCGAGGTAAATGGTCTTAACGACGACGGCATGCACGACTATGAGTACACCCCCCTTCCCCTACCCCCCGTCTTTCACACTGTTAACAAAGTTGCATCGCTGTTTAATTCAGTTTGTAACCCCTCCCCCCCTGTAACCCCTCCCCTCCCCCTCGTGTTGCCAGAGTTGCATCGAGAGCTGCCGGGTAGAGGGCGAGGAGCTGGCGGGAGTGCAGGGCGGATCCCAGTGAGTATTGCTGCTGCTGCTGCTGCTGCTGCTGCTACTACTGTCATTGTTGTTGCTGCTTGTGCTGCTGCTGCAGCTGACATTTGGCGTGTGTAAAACCCTGCCAGTGATGTGATTTTGGGTGAAACTTTACGTGCTCTACTCCTCTTTTTTGGGACGATTGGAGGTTTCAATGAAGGGCCTGAGGGTAAGCCGGGCCGCGATGATGCAAGAAGAAAGTGGATGGGTTGGTCCGCCAGGAGGGGGTTACGCAAAGGATAGCGCCAAAAAGAGACAAACGAAAGCATTACTGCCGAGTTTGTTCTTGCCTCAAAATCATTTCTGGCTCTGCACCTCGAAACGAGTGACATGGATAAGTACTATTACTAAAAAGCATGAGGGAAGGAAGGTGTACCGCTTCTTCCTCCCCACTATGGTCCTTGACCTGGATGTTTGGAATGAAGTATGTAAGCCAGGATGCGGGGTGGGCGAGGAGCGGTTTACTCTCCTCCATTCACTGATGCTGTCCCTGCTTCGATATCGATTATTTCTTTTTACCATCTGAAGCGCGCAATATTAAACATGAACGCACAGCAGTCCTTGCATGAGTTTGCAACGTCGTTTTCTCAGAAGCATCATCATTGTCCACTCGCGTTCTGTTCCTTTCCTCTTTTGTGTTGTGCGTAACCTCAAAGAAGCATTATTGTTGATTCACTCGCGTTGGGTTCATTTCCTCATTTGTGTTTCGCGTCCCCACGCCTTTTTGTCTCTCCGCAGGTGCTGGTGCGGCACGACCGACGACTACACGCGGTACGGGACCGGTACCTGCAACTTCTCGTGCAGCGGCGACAACGAGCAGACATGTGGAGGCAGAGAGTCGGCCAACGTCTGGACCGTCGACTGATGGCTTCACGCGAGTGCACCCTAGATGTGGGAAGTCCCCAGTGGCCCGTTCGTTGCGTCGGTGTAAAGCTTCGATGGTTACGGCCGGTTTTCACCGATCCAAATCGGGTTGCTCTCCGGCTTCATAACCGTAATAACTACACCCCCCGCTGGGTAGGGTTAGGTACAAAATCATTTTTTTTTTCCCTGCACCCCGTGTGTCGGGTGCCTTGTCCGTTTGTTGTGCCCGCCCGACAAGAGCGCACGCTGCATGCAGCTCAGGGAGAAGGCTTACATGGTCAGCGGGATAGAAAAGGCCGCCCGAACCGGTAGCTGAACCAGTGAGAAGGCTTACATGGTCAGCGGGATAGAAAAGGCCGCCCGAACCGATACCTGAACCAGTTCGGGGACTGAGTGATTCTCCTTCCACGGGTTTCGGGTGCTTTTCAAGGGGTGGAAGATGGCGCGGACGGAGGGGGGGGGGGGTTACGGTGGCACACGTTTTTGAAGGGGTGGGTATCCCCGGAACGCTTGGGGTGCCGGCGCAGTGATGATGATGCTGGCATGCCAATGGTGCGTATCGATCACGGATGAGAGATAAAGCACGAGCCTTGTGCGGGTACGGTGCGCGAAGCACGCAGTTGTGGTGTTTCTTGTTGCCCTAATCCGAACACCTCTCTTGGACGTTTCTACTTCAAGAACGTTTTAGGACAGGGATAGATTCGTTCGGTCTTTTGCTTGCCCATCGTTTCCGTTTTTAGATACGTGAAAATAGAGAGTTCCGGCAGCCCGTCCTGTTTCGGAATTCCTGCCGACACGAACGTAGCATGCAGTGGTCATGTGCATAGCCTGTGTTTTCTCAGTGGGTCCGTTTTGTTTTAGGAAAGGCTTTCTTTTTTTGGCGGTCATCGTCAGCATCGTGTCAAGCTCTCAGCTTGCCGATATGTGGTAATTCCCGCCGTGGCGCGTCGTCAAACCTGTGGGCTTCTCGTCTGCCGTGGCGAATTCTTGCGTGTGTTTGGGAGAGCGGTTGCAATATCTCGACCAGCGTTGCAGGCTTCTCGACCTCTTGTAGAGTTGTTTTGGCCTCGCCTCCGTATTTCAGTTGGTGCAACAATCTCTCATGCCCGCACCCACCGTCCTCGAGATTCCTTTGAGGCCGAACGTGCTTCGGGAGCCACCCAGAAAGCACACATGTTTTGATGATTTTACGATGCGGCCACGACTTGTGTCTGCTCAGGTTAGCTTGTCTCGCCGGAACAGTTTTATTCGGGTCCTCTGTTGCGACCCCCCTCCCGGAAGACGCCTTCTTGTTTCCGGCCCTCCTGGGATAGCACCAGTGATAGGGAGGTGTTTGGGAGGGGGGTGTACTCAATAGTCGTGCATGCCGTAGTCGCTAGACCATTGACCTCGATGTTTGGGGGAGATTGTTTGTTTTTCGATGGCGGAAGGGTAGGGTTAGGATTTGCGCCGAGGAGATGTTTGGGGGCCGCAGAAATGCGGTAGCTGATTGCTGCTGCTGCTGCTGCTGCTGCTGTTACTGTGCTGCTGCGGTTGACACGCACGGAAGGGCTGTGGGACCGGGGGTGTGGATCATTCGTCCCCTGCTGTGGAGGCCTCTTTTGCTGTCGATGCAGATGGCGGTATTTTAGTTTCGCCAAAGGGGCACGGCTTGTTGTTGCCTTCAGATCAAGAAAGACTCTTCGACAGGGAGAAAACTCACTTGCGTGGTGGTTTGTACGGAGTGTGGAAGTTTCGCGATGAACGAACGGGCTTGTCGCGATGGAGGGAGACGAGGTTGGGGCTTGGCTTAAGGATGTCCCGCCTTGTCCTTGCTTTCCGGGAGCTGGGGCTAGGCTTTCCGCAGCAAGCTTGTCTTCGTTGGGCGGGTATGTCGAAAGGGAGCGACGAGCGGGAGAGAGAGAGAATCAACCCTCACCCTAACCCTAAGTCATAACCCTAAGTCAGGGGCGGCGGCGGGAAGCTACAGAGCGGAAATGGGCGATAACGTGGGTACGCATGCAAGCCGCGATGGTATCGTGCATCTGCCCTGCCGGAGAAACGAACGCAGCGGGGGTTACGGGAAGAGCACATCACTGACAGGCCTTCCCCGCTTCCTTTTGTGGATATCCCATGGGATACTGAAGACCTTCCTGGTTAGCCCTGGGTTGCGGTGCTGCCTCCTGAATGTCTTGGAAGTCTGATTGGGAAGGGGTGGAAGGAGATACAAACGCCGTCCATGCGCCGGCTCCGGGGGGTGGGTGGGGGTGGTTGACAATGAGCCGCCGCAGCGAGCGAACGAAGTCCCCTCTTGCGCTGAGTGTAGATAAAGTTGACAGCTCGAGTTCTGGCATGCAACCAATGCCGAAGGGGTACGTGCCTAACCGAGACGCGCTAGGTCTATATGACGTTGGATACCAGGGGAGTGGAGGCGTCGGTGCTACCTCCTGACCACCGTGCAAGACATGCTTCGGTATTTTAGCTTACCGTTTGGTAAGGGTTAACATAGTAAAACCCTATTCGTAGGGTTTGGTGGCCCCTAGCGAAGCTACTGGGTCAGCCCCAATTTGACCATCAATGGAGTAAGATGCGGTGTGTGCCTCATGATCCGCTTTGCTTTTCAAACTATGACCAAGAATGGCGGCATCGAGGTTAATGCTTCGAGAGGAGGCGCGCGTTGGGGCGTGTGTCATGAGTGACCTGGTGGTGGTGATGGGTATCCTGGGGAGGGTGGAGGTTAGGTTTTTCGTTGCTTGTGCTGAGTGCATATCATCGATTTGTATGGCTTGATTTACGGTGATGGCGATGTTGGGTGTGTGTGTGGTGATTGGTGCGTTGTTGGGCCCGTGCCGATACGGCGGTGTAGTGACCACCCGTTGGTCTCGTGTGTTGATTTTCATTTCAATTTTTCGTGTTTTTTTTTTCTGGTTTCGAGATCCCGTCGGCGATCCTACACCCTACAGGTCGGTTGACCTTATCCGACCCGTTTCGGGTTGCCTTGGATTCGTTTGTCGACTCCAATCAGGGCATTCCACCAAGCGTGCGGCTTCCAGTTGTTGGTAGTTGGGGCAAGACACGTGTTGTTTGCTTCATGTGCTGTGGTTCTTGGAACTATTTCGCGCAACCACCTATTCGGGCATCATCCGACGTTGCGAGCAACAGCAGCAGCGGCAGCAGTTGTTGGTGGCAACAGCAGTTTGTCGGGTTCGCTGGCCAAGCACTGCGATTTGCGCAGGATTTGTTGTCTGCCCCCCCCCCCGCCCCCCACCCATTTTTCTCTCCATTCGGAGTAAGCAGGGAGGAGGGCGGGGGGAGCGCGCGTGATGGTCTGTTGCACCACCAAACATGGCGCGGCGTTTGCTGCGTCAGGGTCGTGGTGACACCATCTCCCACTTGGGTTGCCCTCGGTGTGTTCTACAGTAGTGGTGCGTGTTTGCCTGTCTGTGCGATACCGGCCGTAGCCTGGCTCGCTAGGCTTGTCCGTACGATAGCGTAAAACAACCAGTGTTCATCAAGATGAATTTGCACTTTGTTGTTGGAAACCGTTGGCACGACCTTGTCTAATGTCTGCGTATTTTGAATGTTTTTGAGCCGGTGTTTGATTGGATTGGGATCGAGGTCTACCCTCAGCGGTGTGCGTGTTAGTAGCAGTCGATTCTTGTTCTTGATCATAAAATAATATTAAGAACTTGAATTCTCCTTCCGGACTCGTTGAAAAAACCAACGACTTCGGCTGCTGTATGTAAGCTGTGTTTCCCCCAACAGCAGTTAGTTGGTTTCTATCTTCACTCCCTGGCTTATTGCACTCATTCTGTCCTGCACCCCAGTCTGGTGCATTCGTCGCCCTTCTCAGCTGCTGCTTCGCCGTGCCTGTCTTCTTTTCTTCTCCGTTCTTTGGTTGCTTGATTGAAATGTCACACGGTGTCTTCACTTCACCTCCCGCTACTTCCGCTCCTTGAGGTGTTTCACTCCTTCTGGAACAGATCTCTCCACCATCTCGGCTTCGTCATGAAATAATCTCCAATACTTGCGAGGCTCCCAGTGGGCTGTGCAAAAACAAACATCGTTTTTCGGGGTTCTTTGCTGTCAGTTGGTCCCATAAGTGTCGTTTCGGGATTTGGGTCGCGTGGCGAGCGCCCGCATTTTTTATTTTTCTTAGTATGACACAACGAGTCCATTTCTATCATAGAAAAGAGTCAGAGACAGATAACAATGGAATCATAGCGTCAGAGAAAACTACCTGAATGTCTACGAGTTCCCAGACAGCATATTGGGACATCTTGCCTGCGGGGAATAGGCTCAACAAATCAGTTTGGTAGCTGTCTTGTGTGTTTATCAATTTTCAAATTCTCCAATTTCTAAACCGGTCGCCCCGGTGGTCTAGTGGTTTCCTCATGATCCGTTAGTTGCAGAGGTCGTGAGCTCGAAACCTCGTGGGGTGAAAAATGTTCGAAATTTAGAAATTTGCGGGTGTAGCGAAACATAGCTAAAAAAGCTCTCGTGAGCACCGTTGACGAGGGAAAGGGACGACGACTGGACCCTTCTCGCGATAAACTAAAGTTCAGCACTCACCGCAGGAGGGAGGAGGTGGAGCATGAAAAGAAACAAAAAGAAGACAAAGCCCTGGTGTTTTTACCCCCTCCTGTGTGACCCTGGATGATTGTAGTTGCACGAACAAATACACTGAAAAAATGGAGTACTCTACCTACATACGCTCTATGGAGGATCTTCCCCGTAATAAATAGGACGAATTTCGGCCCCCTTCCAGGGACCTTGATTTTTACCCGCTGGCACTGACGTCTTTTATTTCGTGACGGTACTGACTGGCGAATGACTGGCGAATATTACATTTTGAATTATAGAAAAATCATTAGAGGAGACAGACACGCTTGACTGCCTACACCTGTAGCCATTCGGCTACCCCTGTATGAACCCTGCGGGCAAATAGACCCTGTACGGACGCTGTGACCACCTGTCTAGGTAATCGGTCCCCACAGGGTCCACGGGCAGGAACCCTCTGCCAGGGTGTCGACACAACCAGGGTTGTACCAGTCATTTCTACGATACATTTAGTCTTGTAAGGTGTTATTAGCCTCTAGGGTACAACCCCAGCATTATTGTACCGATGGTCCAGCAATGTACTGCTTGCTGTAACCCCACACGGCCGTATTTTTTTTTTTGGAATATGCACGCGATAAATGGTGCTCGCTGCTGAAAGTGACAGTCCCGTTCACAACTTGCACAGCATTACAGGGTTCGGCCGAGAGAGGGTATACCCTCTCTCTGTGTTAATTCAGTCAGCGTAAATGTCCCTCTCTGACCGTTGGCATTTGGCGACAGCGGGGACGACTGGCGCGAAGATGAAGCGGGGATGTTCACATAATAAATACGCCGTCTGCTCTTCGGTGTAATCTATCTTTCTTTGTGCTGCACGAAGGAACAAGAGTGCGCTGTTTTCACAGAATAAGTGCATCCACGACACACGGCAATCACGACCGCCCTACAGGAAGAGTAGCAATTAGGGTTACCAACCTCGCGTGCGGGGATGCGGGGATCCTTCAACACGTAGGTGTGGTGCTGTAGACTACAAGTCTAAAAATGTCATTGGACAAATTTCATACAGTCCCGTGGACAGGAGAACCTTCAACTTACAGTCCCGTGCGCGAGGAAGAAATTTCAGTGAACGTTCGTCGTGGGATGTGCATGGTGTCCCGACATACATCGGAGGCAGGAGGTGCCATCCTCCTTCTTTACCGAGGAAACGTGCGAAGCACAATTTCTGGAAAGATTATTCCTTGCCATGTGGTTTATGAGGCAATGATTATCAAGGAATGGCCTACGTCGGACAAACGCATTCATCCGAGGAGACATCGGACAAATGTAAGGGACTCGTTCCCGGCTCCCGGCTGCCCGCGGCAGTCGCGTAGGACCCCACCCACCAGCAAGGAACGGCCTACGTCGGACGAACGCATTCATCCGAGGGGACATCGGACAAATGTAAGGGACTCCTTCCCGGCTCCCGGCTGCCCGCGGCAGTCGCGTAGGACCCCACCCACCAGGTCACACCTACTCCAACACCACCTCCCTCCTCGCTTCCTCACGGTCATCGAAGCGAATGTCGACGGCGACACCCGCGCTCTACGTACATCGTCATGTGCGAAACGTAGTGTTGGGACCAACCTAAGTAGTGTTGTCGTTTGTCCGTCGGGCCTCGTTGGGGCCGTGGGTTGTAAGTAATGTGAGGAGCTTCGTAAGTAGTGCGGGCCTCGTTTTTGGGCCGTGGGTAATGTCGGGACCCTCGTAAGTACTGTCGTCGTTTGTCCGTTCGGCCTTTTGCTTCTAAGTAGTGTGGGACGAATTCCGTTTCCTTCGATTTCGTCCTTCGCTTACCCTTCTCGCCTCGACTTGACGTATCTGTAAGTAGTTCGCGTCTTTGCCGTCGTGGGAGCGGATCACCTCCCGTACTTCTTAATGTCATGTACCCCGTCCAGTTATAAGCAGTCACGGGAGCATGCGTGTATTGTGTATGTCACTACGTGCATGTTACAACAAGTACCGGCGGGAGAACGACGTCATCGTTTGTCCTTGCGTCGGGCTGTAGCGACTGCGTGTTCTATAATAGGTTCCTAAGAAGGGAGCCTGTTGATATTATATCACGAAGTACTTGTAGTCACGTTGCAGTAAGGGGAAGGCATGGTCATCGCCAAGAAGGAATACCAACTGTTTAAAA